TGTGTGACTGAGGTCCTGGGATGGTTCTCTGTGTCCAGCACCTCTAGGCATCGGCAGGGACTTCCTGTCCAGCTTACCTTGGTAAAGAGTCTGCCAACAGGCTGTCTTTGCATGCATGTCCTATCTCCCACAACAGATAGACTCAAGAGCTATGCCAGGTCTAGCCACCTGCTCCTTCGGCCAGGTGTGGATTTCTCATCAGAGACGAACGTCTGTATCTCTACCTTGAGAATCTGAACTAGAAGCGTAGGATTTGTGCCAGCTGGGGTGGGAGGAAGGGCAGCGGAAAGACTGTAGAGCTGAGGCGTGAGGCTAAGGACCAGGGACAGTGGGAACCAGTATTGCAGATGCACAGGAACAGGACACCTTGCCAGAGGGAACAAGGTAGACAGAGGAGGAGGAGGGAAAAGGGGGAGGGAGCAACAGGGGAGGGGAGAGAAGAGAATGAGGATGAATATGCTACTTCTTGACTTTCCTTTCTTATGAGGTCAAGGTTCCACAGACAGGTTCACGGAGTTCCTATTTTTCCAGACACCAAGGAAAGAAATATTTCTTCTGCCCTGTTTGATAATCAGGCTTGCTAGACCCTTGAGGTTCCCAGTGGTACACAGAGATCATATTTAGGAAATTCTACCAAGACTGAGAAAGCCCACTGGCTTGTAGTGAGTGTGCACACAGAAGCCGGCTACTTCTACGGCATTGTGGATGCTAAGGGAAGCAATGAGCTCCCAGAGCCTCTCCCAGAGCACTGGGAATGAAGATGGAGCCTGTGTACTGAGGAGGACTGAGCAGGCAGAGGCCCAAATGGTGGAGAGACACCAGCTGGTAAGGTTCTGACGTTTTTTTCTACAACCACTGCAGGCTTTATAAAAAATAATATCTTTGTTTATCTGCAACATGCAGTATGTTATGTGTTGTGTGTGTGTGCATACATGCATGGATGTGTGTACTTACTTCATATACATATATACATACATATATGGAGGCCAGAGGTTAATGTCAAGTACCTTCCTCAATACTTTGCTTTGGAGACAATGTCTCTCACTGAACTGGAGCTAGCTGGTTTAGCTAGACTGACTGGCTAGTGAGGCCCCAGGACCCACCCGGGTGCTGGGGTTACAGATGCTGGACACATGTATGACTTTTTATGGGGATGCTGGAATCCAAACTCCGGTCTTTGGCTTGTGGAAAGAGCTCTTTATCCACTGTACCATCTCTCCAGAACCCTCATGCAGCTTCTGGCTCCACACACAGACTTACCTGATGTTTCCAGCTTCAGATGGTATGGAGGGCTCTTTGTTCTTCAAGCTTCTATGGTTTGTATCTGTGTCCTGAGGTCCACACTCTGATGTGGATAGAAAAATGACTTGAGTATATCACTGATGACTTTATTTTATAATTAACATCTGCTTTTCGGCTACATGGAAACTTACTGTACAGCATTCAGCATTTAAAATACTCTTTAGGTTCTTTAGATAATACAGGGCTGTCCAACTACAAAAACCTCCTTACGCTGTTGTGGTAAACTCTAAGACCCTTCAGAGAAAGCCAGTCTTATTTTCTCTGTGGAGCCAGCCTTGAATTCAGGTTGGATTAAATCCCTCTCCTTACAACTATCAGACATTCTGGACAGTGCCTCAGGATAGCTCCCAACGTATGCTGTTCCCAGTCCCGGGCAGCTCAGGGTCTCACCTCTCTGAACCCCGTGACCATGATGAAGATCTTAATACTGGTGGGCAGTGCTGATCACAGCTGCAATTGTCCTGTCCGTGAGCTGAATGGATTGCTTTGGAGTCATCCTGTCAGGAAGGGCTTCATAGGCTCATGTAGCTGGCCCTTGCTGTGGGTTAAGTTTGCAGTGACCATGGTCCTATGTACTGTGTGATGTCTTGTAGCTGACATCTGCAAATTTCCTCTTGGTTGGGTCCATCCTGGGAGGTGACTGTTCTTTCCGGTTGAGAACCACTGGTATAAATTAAACAACCAAGATGACTTTTTACTTTTTACTTTTGGTCAGGAAGGGGTAAAGTAGAAACAAAACAGCATATTCTAACACTTCATATTCTATATTATTGATTTCACTTTTATTCATCCCCAAAATTATGTGGGGGAGGTCCACAGTGTTCATGTATTTATGGAGATCTTAAAATATTGTTGGTACCTTGAGGCCAAGTTAATAAAGAATTTAGTTTGTTTGGAAGAGCAGCCGTACCTGTCCTCAGGTACCCTAGCAGCCTCCAACAATGGGGTGCCACGAGCGGCTGTTGAGTGAGCACCTCTCATGGATGTTAAGGGAGCACCTCTCGTGGGTGATTTCCACCTGACCATGGAAAGTCTTTTGAGTGAAAATGTGGATAATGGTGTCAATTTGTCCCGAACACCTGAGAAGCTTCTCGCGTGAGTGTGAGTCCAGTGTGATGATCTAAGCACAATGGCTTAGATAATTTGAGCATGCTAACCTGTGAACTCAGATCCAAGGAAGGAATCAAGGAGAGGCTTGTCCCATCAATCCGTCAACAGTTACAGACAGGAGACAGGAGGAAGCACACACGGTCGCAGCACGGGTGTGCAGTGTACCCCAGGGTTCTGCCTTGTCAGCACTTCCTGGCTTTTGCCTCCAGGCTCGTTTCAGGGACCATATGGGTGTTAGACCTGCACAACTGATGTGTTTTCCCCATGTTGCCGCTGCATACCTTCTCTTGCCTTACTTTGCAGCCTTGAACAGAGAGCACCTGTAGTGGACCCAGTAAGCTTGAGACATCTTCGTTCTGACAATGTCCCTAATTCCTGAAGATCCCTGAAATAACAGGTTCAGCGAGGAAGGGCACTGGGTCCTGGTGGGATTAGGGTAGACTCACCGCATGAGTGAGCACCATTTGCACAGATCTGTTCTTGCTCCCTTTCTTCTTTCTCCCTTCCCCTTTTCATCTCTTCCCCCCACCCCCTTTGAGACCAGGTCTAGCCCAGGCTGACTTCTTTCTTTTGACCCATCTACCTCAGCCTCCCAGGTGCCTGCAGGGTGCATTGCTATATATAGCTCTTGTCCTTCCATTTATAAAGCCAAAGACACACCTGAAGATTGTGGGGCAGGGGAAGGAGCCTGTGGTAAGTTCTAAGTGCACAGAATTTTAATGACTATTGCCTGGAAAAGTGCTGTGTCCTTGGAACCTAATGGTAGTACTTCGGGAGAAATCAACAGGAAGTAGATCCTTAGCTGGTCTTGGATACAATATTACTAAAAGGGAATGCCTTTCTCCAGAACTAAATATCTAGACTCTCTCCATCAGTGAGCCCAAGATCAAGTGGTGACCAACTGCTTTGCATTCATATTCAATTGAGAGCTAAGTATTTCTTTTCAACCTGGTCATCTTTTGGAGCCCTGGAGTGACTCTGATCTTGGTGAGAAGTGCTTCTCTGGATGTAGTTGATATGGGCACTGTCAGATCTGTGGCATCAGCAGCTTGGCATGCTGCAAAATGGTTGGTGTTGTTAAATATCCCACTTGGTTGAACTCCGTGTTTCTAGATCTGGGATCTCCTCCTTCTCAAGGTGAAAGCTGCTCACTCCCTAAAAAGGTGAAGTTAGGACACATACAGCAAGTTCTGCCCCAGAAGTATGGAATGTAAGCCCAAGCCACAGATATGAGGGTCAGAACAAGGGAGTTAGAGAGCCTGCATACGGTGCTCAGTGGTTTCTGTCGCGTGAATAGGGATTACTCCAAAGCTTTCCAGCTTCTGGCATTCTTTTACCTTGAGTTTATCAGAGCGGATATCTATAAGGATGAGTAAGTTACTCCAACTCAGCCCCAAGAGGTTTCTTCTCTGTGTTTCTAAGGAACTATTGACTAACTGCTCCATTTTCAAATCATTGAGAACAAATAGCTTTGTCTACAAAAGAAGTAGGCAAACTATGCCCAGTTCCATCCAGTCTGCTTCCAATTTTTATGAATAAAGTTTTATTGGAACAGAGCATGCTCATTCATTTAGACATGACTATGGCTGCAGCTACACCCTGAGGGCAGAGATGAGTGGTACACTACTTTATCTACAAAATAAAAACTGAATATCACTTGTTTTTTTCTCATCATTTTTAAAATTTATTTTACATACCAACCACAGTTTCTCCTTCCTCCTCTCTTCCCACTCCTTTCTCTACCCCCCCATACCTCCCCCCATCCACTCCTCCTCTGTCTCACTTAGATGGGGTAAGGGAATCAACAGAATTTAGCATATCAAGCTGAGATAGGATCAAGCTCCTCCCCGCTGTATCAAGACTGAACAAGGCACTCCATCACAGGGAATCGGCTCCAAAGAGCCAGCTCATGCATTGGGAACAGGTCCTGGTTCCACTGCTAGGAGCCCCACAAAACACCAAGCTACACAATTGTCACCCAGTTGCAGAGTGTTTAGGTCAGTCCATTTCCAGCTCTCTAACTGTCCGTTCAGAGTCCATGAGCGCCCACAGGTTCAGGCCAGCTGTCTCTGTGTGTTTCCCCATCATGACCTTGACCCCCCTTGCTCAGTCCTTCAACCCTCTCTTCAAATGGACTTAGCGCTTGACTGTGGACCTCGGCATCAGGTATGGATGAAGGCTCTATGATGACAACTAGGGCCGTCACCAATCTAATTACAGTAGATGACCAGTTTAGGCATCCTCTCCACTACTGCTAGGAGTCTTAGTTGGGGTCATCTTTGTGGGTTTCCAGGAGCCTCCCTGGCACCAGGTTTCTCCACAACCCCACAATAGTCCTCTCTATCAAGATATCTTCCCCCATCACTCTCCTGCTCTATTTGGCCCACAACTCGACCATCCTGATCCCCCATATTCCCATCCCCCATCCCCTCCTTGTCTATGCCCCACACCCATTTACCCAGGACATCCCACCTACTTCCTCTTCACTGGGAGATCCATGGGTCCCTCGTAGGGTCCCTCTTGTTACCTAGCTTCTTCGGGGTTGAGGATTGTAGTCTGGTTAATACTTTGCTTGACATCTAATATCCACAAACATGAAATGCTTCACAAATTTGCATGCCATCCTTGCACAGGAGCCAGGCTCATCTTCTCTGTATCATGCCAAGTTTAGTATATGTGTGAAGCGAGCACACCACTTAGTCTTTACAGCAGAGTTTGCTGTTGGTGTATGTGGTAATACAGGAGCTCTGATTGCACCAGGATCTCTCTACTAGGTGTTGAGACATGATGATGAACCAGACCTCAGCTATAGCAGAAAAGATCACATATGAAATAAGTGACCCTGCTTTACTGAAAATAAAAATGATGCTACCAATAAAGGAATAGATATTAATCAGAAAGCAGTGATACATTAAAAAACACCAATCATGATTGCTCTGGTCTTTTTTTTTTTTTTGAAAAAAAATTACACTTGTATGGAATGTGCAGCAGTTCTTGTGAGCTTTTCTAGGCTAGATTGCATTTTTCCTTAGAGCAGACTTCGAAAAGAAAAGCTATCTGAGCATGCTGTTCAAGCCTCCATCTCTCACAGACAGGGGCTGGCTAACATCTGAGGTGGCCTGGTAGCTCTTTCCCTACTAGCTGTCCTCCATATTTTATAGTCTGGTCTTGCCTAGTTGCAGCCCATGTCTTGAAGTTTTAAGCCTTCTTTCTTAATAGATATGTGCCATCTTTATCCCTGACTCTCACCCATCTTTCTGATTTAGCTCTTCAGCTACTGTCTTTGCAAGGTTCTGTTCAAGTGTCTGATGAGTCTGAGTCCCTTCCTAAGAAGAAACGGTCAGATTCTCTTTTGTGTGGCAATAGTTTACATATAAATTATATCATTGCTAATTGTATTCTACCTCTGTGAAGGTCAATCTCCATTGTCAGTTGGGTTGGATTTGGTATCTGATCTGGTGACAGACTCCCTCAGGGAGTCTACTGTTGTCTGACTGAGTTAACTTCCTTCAGGTCAGTCCCAGTTCCAGGGAACAAAGTTCTCACAGAAGCCTGTTCTCTCTGTCTCCTCCCCAGTTCCCACGGAGGAGAGAGAAATAAACAGGGCACAGACACTTCAGTGTGCAGAAGAAGAAACAACTGGCCACGGCTCCCTCATCCACAGAGGAAAGGAGCAGGGTGGACATGCACTGGTGGGTCTTGTGCTCATATAGAAATCAGGCTTCTAGAAACATCAGTGGGAGGCTTTGAAAGATCTCTGCGTTGTCACCTTCAGGGCTGTCCTTTCTCTGAGAGAGCTGGGAGATTTCAGGCTGGAAATTCTCTGAAAGACCCCATCCAGCTGTGATCCCACAAGCTGCAGAGTGAACTCTGCAGAGGTGGCAGACGGTTGCCCGGGGCGTTGTTTCTTGAAGATCTCCCTTCAGAGAGGTTCCCGAGAGCTTCCTCAACAGACTAGGAGAGCGCTTGCCCCACACGGCTTATCCAACCTCTAAAGGCTTGGGTTCCAATGAGCATCCAATTAACTGCAGATAAAGGCGCTAGACAGAGAAAGGACAAACTTGCCTGCTTCTACCTGATAATGGTCCTTGTGTGCTTAGATCCTGAGACTTTGAAGGGTAAGTTCAAATGAAATACAAGGACAGAGAAACCGGACATTAATTAGGAAGAGATGAGTGAGGCCTCATTCACCCGATCACTCTCCCATCTATGCTGTTAATCTGCAAAACTCTAGGAAGCTGACTCTTTCTGTCTGGCTTCCCGATGAGGAGTGCTATCTGCTGTATGCATCCTTTGTTTTTCTTTTTAAATTATAAAATATTTTTTTTTCAGCATTGAGGACCAAACAGAGGGCTTATACGTACTATACGTACTACCGCTTAGCTATGTCCTCAGCCCTCTTACTTAGTACTCTGAGACAAAGTCTTGCTACAAGTCTCACATCAGACTTGTACTCACTGTACTTCCCAGGAATGCCTTTAGCGTGCAATCCTCCTGCCTCAGGCTCCTAAGAAGCCATATGAAACACGAATTCCTGATAGGATTTTAGCTCTGCTTTGAGTTCAGGCAATCAGTGAACGAAAGGTTTCTGCCTGCCCCTCACGATGACGCTAACCCTGGTGAAAAGCGCTTTCCTGGGAAGGAGATTTGTTCTAGATGTTACCATGCTGACGGCTTCAAGGAAATGGCAAAGGGCCGTGCCCGTGTGAGCTTTCTTAAATACACAGATTACAGAGTGATTACATTGTTATTTGGAAGTCAGTGAAGCTGGCTAGAACCAGAGTGCTGACAGAGAGTCGGATTACACAGTGATGATACTATAAGCCATGTAGTCCTCGGGCTCTGCCAGCCTGTGGCCCAGGTTCACTCTGGAGTTTACAAAGGTCTCTGAACTCACCTTGTCTTCATGTAATTCATGTCTTCACAGTAGTCTTCTAAAGTGACAGCCAGCGTCACTTCTCCACAACCTGCAAAGTAATGTTTAGGGTAAGAGATGGGTTTGCTTTGTTTGTTTGGGTCCCTGTGGCTAGAGTCATATAACTTTGTGGATAGAAACTTGCATATTAATATCTGTAGTTTGAAACTTGCGTTCTTGGACTTTTGTTAAAAGCACTGAACAGTGAGTATGGCCAGGGAGGCTGGTCTTCCCAGTATTTAGTCTTGTGGAAAGTATAAGACACACAACAGCTCCCAGGGAAGTCTCTTCAGGTTGGTGAGGTAGGACAATACTGGACCACAGGCCGTGTGTTCTTGGGTAAAGACTAGCCCAACCTGGGATGAATTGTTATCTCTTCCAAGGCTCGAGTGAGCCACTCTGTGAGCCACTGTGTGGGGTGGAAGTGGAGGAGTAACAGGATTTTTAGGCCTGAGTGTCCCTTTGGGATGTTTGTCCTCAGAAGAACATATGTCAGGAAGAAGGCACTGTGTGAATCAGAGGGCAGAGGCCTAGGGTCCTACTAAACATCTTACAGCACACAGGCAATGCCATGCGCTTCCATCTCAGCAGAGTCAGTTGTGGTATGACACACCAGGTAAGTGCTTTACCACTGAACTGAAGCCTTAGCCCTAAAATATCTTTGCTACGCAAATCTATTTTGAACCTCTGAAGTTAGGTTCTGCATCGCTAAGATCTCCTGTTAAAGTAGAGTGCTACTGGGAGGTCATGGAGCCTGTAAGACTTGGAACCTGGTAGAGCGCCTCTGTAGGAACTGTGGACACTCCTTTCCTGTTCCTTGCTTTTGAGTTTCTGCCTGAGTTGAGTATTTGGTCATGTGCGCTCCAACTGTGATCTGCTGTTTTCACTCAGACCCAAAAGCCATAGGCCCTCCAACCATGCACCAACCCCTCTAAAAACACAGGCCAAGACAGCTCTTTTCTCCTGTGAGTCCAATATCTCCATAGTAGTTATATTTGTCGTTTTGATAACAGAAGGCTGACTGACTCAACAGGCATAGTGGAGGTGGTCTGGTTCAAAGCATTTTCTGAAATCTAGGGGGAAGTTCTACCATTAAATGTAGGGGGTAATCTTCTGTGTGTCTCCTTCTCTCCTCTTCAGCCTGGCTGGTCAACCGATGAGGAAAGATGATTGAAAGGGAATATTTATTTCCATGTCAAAGAGCACCTGGAGTCTGTGTTTAAATTCGGTATGATCAGAATGTTACAGGTGTTCTGATTTTTAATGTTTTCTTTCAGGGACATTTCTACAGGGCATATTCTTGTCAAAAACCCAGAAGCAGCATGAGAGCTGCAAAGGAGCCAATGTTAGGGCATCACATATGTGTGCTGCAGTTCCCATGCTAAGATATAAAGACAGTTTGGGTAGAGTGGAGGGTGCTGTCTGTTCTGAGACTGAAGAAAGAGAAGATCACTCTATGTGCTGGAAGTCTCTGTCATTTGTCGACAAGCTCTAAGGAGGAGGAACTTGGGTGAAAGGAGATGGAACATTTTGGTGGCTTTGGGAACTCTGATAGTGCTGGCATCTGGTGCCTTCATGTTCTCAGGTCTGGTACTCTTGGTGTTTGATGTTCCCTCAATGCTGATGGCTGTTGCATGGTTGATGGTTGTGAAAGTGAGAGCTAGCAGGCTCTTCAGAGAGAGGCGGCACAGCAGAACCACAGGATTCGCCCTGGATACTTCTGGTGGCTCTTCCCTGGGCTTCTTACTACCAGGGCTCAGCTCAGAGACCCTGGACAGGTCCCCGCCTCCCCGAGTTACTGTTGCCTCTAGTGGCTCCAGTACCCTCTAGCTTCCTCTTAGAGTTCTGTCTGGTAATCAGCATCCTTGGGATCCTGGCCAAGTCAAGCCCCACACTCCAGTGGTCTATAGCGTACCTCCCTGGGCCTTGGAGGTTGCATGTCAAGATGGTGAACGAGCTACAGTCATGTCTTTCATCTCTAGCCAGGCCTGGACCTTGGAGGCTGCAGGTTAGAATGGTGAGCAAGCCACAGTCATCTCTAGCCAGGCCTCCACAGGGATGCTCTTTTTTTTGCTCTGGTTAAGAGATTGAAGGTTTCCTAAAGCTAGGACCTGTTTCTGGAAAATGACAAACAAGCTTAATGACACCTACATCTATTATTGTTGTTGTTATTATTATTAACCAAATATCTATACTCCATTCTTAGTTAATATGCTCTTAAACTATGATCATAAATTGGCAACACTATATACTGAATGTCTTGTGTAAGGTCTCAAGTATGGAAAGAAAGTGATGTAGGAGATGGAATACCAATGACTGTGATACTTGTTTGTTCTAAAGATCAGAGTTACCAGAAGGTTTTATGCAGTTTATTTTGCTGATGCTGCCCCCATTGGCTAATTGTATATGTATATGCATATGTATATGTGTATTTATGAATGTGTATACACACATATGCATGAACACACACATCACACACATGTATATTCACACACATATATATCCATGTATATTCAAATATGAATATGCACACATATATAATTAGTGGCTGAAATCAATGATTGCTAAAACCATATTCTTTCTCTGGGCATAGACTATTGTATAACTCATTTTCCATAGAAATGTAAAGATTCTTTGTTTGAGTTATATGTATCTGTCTGTAAGTCATATGTCATACATGAAATTTAAGACTGCCTTTACATTTTTGAACACAGTGAGTTTGACATCAAATCTTCATGGAAGAGGCAGGGCACCTGCGTGAATAGACTCACAATTTCC